AAAAAAAGCCTTAAATATATTTTACATATTTAAAAAAATAAAATAAAATCTTTTTCCTCTCCCAATCCCCTCCCTACCTCCAACCTCCACTCCCACCCTTATCCTACTCTCACCTCCAATCCTAACTTTCACTCTCACCCCTCTCCCATTTTCACCCTCTTCCTCCAACTCCACTTTCACCCTCTCTCTTTCCCTTTTTCCAAGTACTTTTTTAATAGAAAGAGTTTACACTCTTTTAATTAAATTAATAAAATATAAATGTGTATATTATTATTTACATTACTTTTATTGATATATTAAAAGGAAAAAATAACAATGCAAACAATTATAAAAATAGACCAATATGTATGTTATTTTAAATTTTAATTAACAGATCTGACTAAAAATGATTGATTAAAAAAATTGAATTGGGAAAGAGAAATAGATGTTTATTAACTAGGATTTTGGAAACTAAATTCTCTTAATGTAAAAATTGTAAGTCTAATTTCAGTTTTACTTAAACAAATAGAGAAAATGATAAATTTTATACACTCTCTCATTTCCCCTTACTTTACAAACTTTCTCTTTCTCTCCCTCAGCCTCTCTTTTCTTCCCAACTCCTCCACTCCCCTCCCCCTCTACAACTCTCTCACCCTCTCAACCCTCCATCTACACTCTGTCTTTTTTCAAAATTTCAACAAACTCTAATAATCTCTTATCCATCTTCAAGTTTTCTTAATCTCCACAGACTCTTCCTCCTTCTTACTTGAAAAATTATGATTACATACATGAAAGAGAATAATTATGCAAAAATTATTTAAATAAAGTTTAGGTAATTTTTTTTATTTTTTTATTTTCATTTAAGTGAATATATTTTTGTTTAAATAAAAATGGAATAGGACATCTAGTTTAAGATTTTGAGTAAAGAGAGAAGTTAAAACTCCCCTTTTGGTGTTGGCCTTCTTACTTCTCTTCTCTCTTCAAAACCTACACATCCTTTGTTTATCTTATTCCACTTCCTCGTCTTCATTGATTGCTTTTAATGATCCCAATTTTATTAGCTTTCTAACTTTAAGAACTTTTCTTAAAGGGTGTAAAGTTAATCTCAATTTCAAAATTTCATATGATAAATGTAATAACTAGAAAAATTTTACTAACATAATTTTTTCATACACTTTTTTTAATACTTTTAATTAGTTAATATTTATTAAGAATTTTAAAAGAATGAGTGAGAATAATTAAATCCAGAGATGAAATAATATGTTTATTTATTTTTGATAAATTTTAGCTAATAATTAAGAATGTGTTAACATAATTTTTGTTAGAATTAAATTCTTCAACTAAGAATTCACATCTATACAAGTTGGTCATAACTATTTAACATGATAACTATATAAAAGGCTTCTAATTTTAATTTTTAAAATGTTTTTAACAAGTTGCATAATTTTTTTAATGAATAACTGCTTGTAAACTTGAAATTTTTATTGTTAATCAAATCTTAATATAATTATTTATGATTATTTTGAAATTTATATTTAAAAAAAATTAATACTGATATGCTTGATGAGGAGTAATCAACAAACTAAATGAAGGAGGTTGAGATTCTGTTTGTCATTGTGAGAGTGTAGGATACTATACCATGTGAAAGCATCACAAAAATGGAAAAAACCATAATTTATTGTTACATAAAAAAAAAACAAATGAAAAATATTAAGCAACAGGTATAAAGGATAACCCGCTATTTGTTGATATCACCTTTTATATCTAACCACCTCCTTAAAATATCTAAACTTAACATAATGTCATTTTAAAAATCAAAACTAACCTCATATTTTTGCATATGTATAAATAACTCTAATTTTTAGTTTCTCAATCAGTTCCAACGTTCAATCCATCTCAAGTGAACATTCACACTCTCAAAAACATTGAAACATAATGCAGAAAAGAGCCTCAAATGTTAAGGCATTGAGAATGCAAGCCCTATTCGTTCTTCCTATGCCTCATTCATTTTTGAATCTTGATGACTTTCCTTCAGTTCCTACAAAACTCTTCCAATTTCAACGAGGAACTCAAAATTCATAACGACGACAATGAAAGGATTGAATAACAACAAGATTTTAGTTTTGCAAGAATTGATCCCTAAGAAACTATTATTTACATTTTTACCAAATAGAAAAATGAAATGGAAACAGTAATACAATATTATATATGAGCAGTTGAAAAAAAATAAAGACAGAGTATAGAAATAAAAAGAAAGATGAAAAACTCACATAATTCTTAAAGTATTTGAAAAGTCATTTCAAAGAATCTTTTAAAATTTGATGAGTTGTTTTATGAATTTGGTATTTATAGATATCACTAAAAAGTTTTTCAAACTCCTTCTAATACAACAATCCTTTAAAATTTTTATTCTTTTTAATATTAATGGATTATTTTTAAATTGTAAAAAATCTTAAATGAATACCAATAGATTTTAATGGACTCTTTAAAAAATCTTGAAAATTCAAATTAAATTCTACTAGATTATTTTTAAGTAACATAAAATCCTAATTAAATACAAACAGACTTTTTTACTTAAAAAAAGTTTTAAAATTTTATGAAATTCTAAACCAATACATCCTCCTAATATTGTTATTTATAAAATAATTTCTAATAATATGTTTATTATTCATCTTATCTTCATGTTTTTATCATCTAAATATTAAATATTTTAAATTTTAATATTAATGTGGTATTTAATTGTAATATATAGAAAATAAAATAAAATTTGTATAATGTTTATGAAATTCAGGTACCTTTTTAACATAAAGAGTTTCCATGTCCCTTTTAATTAAATTAATAAAATATAAATATGTGTATATTATTATTTAAATTACTTTAAAAGAAAAAAAATTAACAATGCAAACAACTATAAGAAGATACCTATACGTTTGTTATTTTAAATTTTAATTAATAAATTTGATTAAACACAATTGTTAAAAATATAATTTAAATTAAAAGAGAAAAATAAATGTTAATTAATTAGGATTTTGAAATCTCTAAGGGAGATCAGAAGTATAGTTCTATTTTCATTTAAATTAAAATATGTTCACTTAAATTAGAACGAAAATTTTATACTCTCTCTTAACTTTTTCTTTCTTTCTCACCGCCCTTCTCTTTCCAACTCTCCCACTCATCCAGGCCTCTACTCCGCCTCCTCCCCAACTCTCCTTCCCACTCTTCCCCTCACAACTCGATTCCCTACCTCGACTTGCACTCTACTTCCTTTCTTGAAATCTCAATAGAGTCCAATGACTTCTTATCTATCTCTAAACATTCCTAGTCTCTACTTATTCCTTTTTTTTTTATTTGGAAAAAAATGTATGATTACATGGAAGAGAGTAATTATGCAAAATTTATTTACATAAAAAATTTATTATTTTCTTTATTTTTATTTAAATAAAAATGAAATTGAACACTTGATTTAAGATTTTGAGTAAAGAGAGAAAGAAGTTAAAACTCTCCATTTAGTGTTGACCTTCTTACTTCAATTCTCTCTTCAAAACCTATATATCTCTTGTCTATCCTATTTCACTTTCTCTTATTCATTGATTGCTTTTATAGGCTTGAATATTTTTTTAGGATTTGTTTGGGAGTTTGAAGGAGAAGGAAAGGGAAGGGTTTGAAGAGGGAAGCAATGGAGGAAAAAAGAAATTAAACCCCTCTTATGTTTGGATGTTTAATATTGAGAGGAAAGGGTGATGAAGGTTAAGTATATAAATGATATTATTATATTTTATACCTTTTATTTATATATTTTTTTATTTTTACAAAAAATAAAAAATAATATTTTTATTTTTTTAAAATAATATTTTTAAAATAAATATTTTATTTTTTTATAATTTTTTAAAAAAAATCTCACTTGAAAAATTAACATTTAAAAAATAATTAAAATCCTAATTGTGAAATAATACGAGAGAGAAAAACTTTAGAAAACTCTTTAATTAGAGAAACTCAAAAAAATTAGAAAAATTTAAAAAAACTAGCATTGAGAGGACTTTGGAAGGTTTAAAAAACCTCCCAAACCCTTCTCCTATCTTCCCTTCCTAAATACAACTCTCAAACATAACTTTAATTATCCAAATTTTATTAGCCTTCTATCTTTAAGAACTTTTCTTAAACTTTTTTTAAAGGGTGTGAAGTCAATCTCAATTTCAAAACTTCGTTGATTAATAAGAACTAGAAAAATTGTAACATATTTTTTTAATACTTTTAATTGGCTAATATTTATTAAAACATTTAAAAGAATGAATGAGAATTATTTAATTAAGAGATGAAATAATATATTTAAATTTTTTAAATAAAATTTAACTAATAATTAAAAGTGTATAAAACAAAAATGTGTTAACAAAATTTTATAAGAATTAAATTCTTCAACTAAAAATTCACATTTATACAAGTTGGTTATAACTATTTAAGATGATAACTATATAAAAGGCTTCTAATTTTAATTTTTAAAATGTGTTTTTAATAAGTTGCATAAATTTTTTAATAAATGGCCGCTTGTAAACTTGAAATTTTTATTGTTAATCAAATCTTAATATAGTTATTTATGAACACTATTTATTTTAAAATTTATAATTTTAAAAAAAAATCTAACTGACATGCTTGATAAGGAGTAACCAATAAACTAAACGAAGGAGGTTGAGATTCTGTTTGTTATTGTGAGAGTGTAGGGTACTATAGCATGTGAAAGCATCACAAAAATGGAAAAAACCATAATTTATGGTTTACATAAAAAAATAAATGAAAAATATTAAGCAACAGGTATAAAGGATAACCCGTTATTTGTTGATAACACCTTTTATATCCAACCACCTCCTTAAAATATCTAAACTTAACATAATGTCATTTTAAAAATCAAAACTAACCTCGTATTCTTGCATATGTATAAATAACTCTAATTTTTTAATTTCTCAATCAGTTCCAACATTCTATCCATCTCAATTGAACATTTACACTCTCAAAAACATTGAAGCATAATGCAGAAAAGAGCCTCAAATGTTAAGGCATTGACAATGCAAGCCCTATCCGTTCTTCCTATGCCTCACTCATTTTTCAATCTTGATGACTTTGCTTCGGTTCCTACAAAACCCATTTCCAATTTCAATGAAGAACACAAAATTCATAATGATGACATTGAAAGCATTGGAGAACAAGAAGATTTCAGTTTTGCAGGAATTGATCCCCAAGGAACACTTATTTTTGCTGATGAGATCTTTGAAAATGGCCAAATTCGACCGTTTTTTAATCAATCTCTTGATTATTCCAACACACAAGGTGATGTGAGCTTGGCTCTCCGATCACCATTGAAGAAATTGTTGATTCAACAGTGCAATAGTTTGTCCCTTGAATCAATTGGTACATCAAAAGATTTGCACAAAGAATCATCACAAAATATAATGATGGTGGAGGTGGAGGCTTCAAACAAAAAATGTCAAAAGAGCAACTCCACAGGGTTCTCAAAGATATGGAGATTTCGACAATACTTGAAACATCGAAGCAACAGTGATGGAGAAGATGTTTTTGTTTCCATAAATCCTTCGATGTCGATATCAAAAAGATCTAATAAGGAAAAGGTTGAAAATATTGCTTCAAAGAAAGAAAAAGGTGATAAACATAAAAAGACAGTGTCAGCTCACGAAAAGCTTTATGTGATGAATAGAAACAAAAAGGAAAATAGTAAGCGGAGATCATTCTTACCTTACAGAAAAGAATTAATTGGGTTCTTTGCCAACAGGAATGGATTCAGCAAGAATCTTCATAGTTTTTGATATTCTAATCCCATTTAGAAATACAGAAAAGTGTTTGTATCTACTTTTGTATATATAGTACTTGTAAGTAAGGCCAAGTTGCATGGATGTTTTAAATCCAAATTGTAATTTAGGAATTTTTTTGCTCTTGATGACAAGAGTTTGTAATCTCCTAAATGATAATTAAGTTGGGTGACTTTTAGTTACATATTACTTTCTTACCTAAACATTATTTAATGTTAAAAATAATAGTTTACATATATATAATTACTTCATTCAAAATAGAAAAAAAAAACTAACAAACAAAGATATCATTAAATTTAAAGAATGGTGTTTAAAGAAACCAATGGGTAAATTAATTAGTTTTCTACGTGTTTATAGAGGCATAACGTGAGAGAAACAAAAAAGTTTTGCATGCTAATTATGCTAACCAAAAAGGCATTTTGTTTCAATATTTTTTTAAAATAAATGAGATCAATAGGTTTAAAAAATATGTTTTTGCTTAATATTTCGTCAATAATTAATATATTATTATATTTCAAAATATAATAAAATATAAATTCCAAACAATTTACGTATTTTATAGTTTGTTTTTCCATTTTATTTTTTATTTTATGAAAAATAATATAATATAACTTGGAAATTCACCCAAACTCGATTTATTAGGATGACTATTTTTGAGAATTTGGATACATAAATTTGTTAGAAATATTGGGAATATTGTGGTGATCTTGACTTAACTTTGGAATACGTTTTTATTTCATGTGACTTAGGGTATGTTTGAGAATTAATTTTTAGAAGAGAAGAAAGTCTTATTTTTTTTCAATGTGAATTAAAAAAAAAGTTACAACATCATATATAATAATTGATAGCAATTTCTAATTTATTCTGTTGTAATTTTTCAAAATACTGTACGATAAAAATTAATATTAAAAGCACGATATTCTATATTAGTTAGAGATGCCAAAACAAGACATATTATTTCTTTCTACTAATTGATTCTTAAAATACAAGAATGACTAAATTTGCATACTTGTATTAAAAAAAATAGACATTTAATGGAAAAAATAAAAAATCCTAAATGAGATTTCAAATTTAATATTAATTTTATTAATCATTGTCCTAATCTTGGGGATCAAGATATGAAAATGTTCACCAAATAAAATTTCTAAGCAATCTCTTAGCTCCATCTAACTATAAATTACTGTATAATCTAAAATAATATAATTTTAATTTTATTTTATTTATGAATTTATTTTTTAATCTTTATTTAAACAAACATTAATACTAAATCTATTTAGAGGAAAATAATTTTTCGTTATTTAATTTCTAATCTCAAAAATATTTTGAAATTAAAAGATGGTCTAATTAAATTGAATTAGACCATCTTTTTAAAAACAGTTTGTTTCCTATAAGTTAATAGAAATTTAGAGTTTGTTTCCTTTTTTTAAAAGTAAAATTAGTTTGTTAATTTAAATTGTATTTTTATTTTCTTCTTAATTTTTTAAATATAATTTTTAAAAATTTAAAACTAAAAGATAAACAAACAAAAAAAGTTTTCATGATTATGAATAAAAAATAACCAGATAAAGATTTAAAATTTATCACTAGCAAAATAAAAAGATTTAAATTTGTCAACAACCACTTTTTAACGGTAAAGTTACCAAAAAAAAAAAATTACATTCAAATCAAGTAAAAATAATATAAATGTTATTTAATCATTTTCCATGATTATGAATAAAGAATAAGCAGATGAAAGTTAAAATTTTTTGACTTTTCAGTAGTCAAGTTACCAAAAATGTTTATATTCAAATTATAAAAATAAATTTAAGTACAAAAATATCAAATTTTAAATTCAAAATTATAAAAAAAATTAACAACTAAAAATCCCCACATTCAACATATATCATACAAAATTATTAAAAAAAATCTTAAAGTACAGGTATAATTTTTTATATTTTTTTAATTTTCTATAAAATTCCATAATTTAGTATTCAGCAATTTTTTCCATGTAAAAAACGTTATTTTTACGCTACTGTCCACGTTAAAAAATCTATCGTAACAAACCGCGCGTCAAGGATTTTGATAAGACTTTTTCTTATTTGCAAGGTTCATACATACATGTGCTGAATTGTGTGACTCTCTCTCTTCTGGAACACATTTTTCAGTCACTGTTTTAAATTGCACTTCTCAATCTTCATTACGCATCAAGAATCTGATGATCCAAAGTGGATATTAAGATTATCTTTCAGCTAGTAACTAGGTATTCATTTTTTCTCATACGTTCAAGTTTTGTTGCTTTGAAAAGAATCTCTTTTACGCATGTTCAACCATTACGATTATGATCATGTTGCCCTGTTGCGATTCCTCTTGCGTCAATGGCCACATTTCATGTTTTTTTACCATTTCGTGACTAAATCGTTAGTGCTATTAATTTAGAATATTGGCATTGTTATATACGCTTTACTCTGGTTATCCATTTATCTTCCCTTGCATGTCTTTCTTCGTTACCTGTGAGTATGAATCCTTTTCTCTCGTGCTGTTTCCACGGCAAAGGTTTTATATGTGCATTTATTTTTGTTTTTTTCACAGTTGTTACCAAAGTTCTTGTTTCAGAGCGCGTTGCATTTTAATCAAGTGTTTAGTTTTTGACTGGCCCGTTTTCAATCAATATACCAAATTTCAATAACTCAGTCTAGTATGTTGTTATGCATATAATGTGTTTTATTATGACCTAACTTATCATCCAATGTTACAAATTTGTATTTTTTCCTTAAAATATTGGGGCAAGTCATATTCATTAGTTTATATGAATATAAAAACTTTATGAAAGACACGTGGACAAGACCAGGATTCTTTTGTTGTTGTATTATTATTTACTGTATACCTGTTTATTTTTTGTATGACACCTTTGTCTTCTTATGCCATGTTCTGAATCACTTACAGTACTTTGCTTGTGTCTTGTTAAGAGAAATTTCTGCAACTGCAACTGACTTATTTATTATGCATTTGCTTTTAGTTTTTTCACTCTCCATGTTCTTGATTATATAACAGATAGCAGCTCTCTGATGCAATGGATGATTTTGCGAACTCCACGTCATTGTGTCTTGGGAGTCAGCAATGCATGCAATGGGCCAAAATGAGCAGTGATGTGAAAGACAGAGTTTCCACCACATTAGGTATAATCAGTGTCATTGTTTGGGTTGTTGCTGAGATACCTCAACTAATCACAAACTACAAAGAAAAATCTTCTGAGGGTCTCTCTGTTACTTTCTTGTTGACATGGATAATCGGGTAAATTAACTTTTCTTTTCTTTTCTTTTCTTTTTTTCTACTTTGCAAGGGCTGCGACATTATTATTCTGTTATGCTTCCATCTTCATTAATCAATTATTAATTATTCTTATTTATCCTTTGAATATCTAACATCACTTGATACTTAGTGAAATATCGTTAACCTTGAATTGACTATGTCACCGTGATTTTTGTACTGAGCTAATCAATCCAACGATTAAATTCACCGAACACAAATTAAAATGTGTCAAAGGGAACTTTCTTCTCAGTTTATGTAAGAAGTAGGAAGCATGTCATTGTCAATTAGGGGAATCCAGAGTTTTAAATTTTAAGGAAAAGAGAAGTTAATGGAATTAAAACATGATAATACAATTGTTCCAATGCTAAGTTGCCACCTGTACGTGATGTGCTCTGTGCCAAAATTTTTGAGTTCTCGTATTTTCTTGAATGGATGTGAGTAAACGTCAATGTTGAATTCGTTCAGCAAGAAAGACTAAAATAAAAGATCTTGTGAAGACGTAAGAACCAAAGCAAAAATTTGCAAAAAGGTAGGGACCAAAAAGATATTTAAGCCAATGTTGAAATAGGTACTTAGAAGCTTTAGAATCAAGGGATTTTATAGTAATAGTAAGATGGAATATATAGACAGTTTAGCAAAACATGATATAACAAAATTTTGGAGGTGAAAATTGGGGACCACACCATACGCCAAGTTGCACAGTTTAAGTATGATTCCACAGTGCTTATCAAACTATGAAGAAAATTCTTCAATACTCCGTGCTGTTGGACAACAAAGTGAAAACAAGAGCAAAAGAAGTGTAGTGGGAATGAGAGGCTGAGGTGGAAGAGTGAAAGTATAGGAAAAAAGTATTTTGGGAATGAAAAAATATCTCTTATTGAGGAGAAAAATACAAAAGCTCATTTCAGATGATTTGGTCGTAGACCAACCTGCCTACCAATTGAAAGATAGTTTGGTTAAAAGAGGTTGAGGAAGACCACAGAATACTACAGAAGGAACCATTAGAAGGACCTCAACTTTTAAGAAATTTTTTTTTTCAGGAGTTCAATGTCATCGAGCCAATGATTGATCCGTGTATAGCCAACTCGACTTGGTTAATCCTGATTGTTGTATCTCTATCTGATCTCTAAACCCTCTTGAGTGTTATGCTTTTAAGTCTTCTCATTCCACAACCCCTATATTTTTCTGATTTTGTTGTGTCCGGATGAAGGTGTTAGTGTGTCACCATGTCCTATATTTGATACAATTTTTTTTTTTTTTGCAGAGATCTATTCAACCTCTTCGGATGCTTGCTAGAACCTGCTACTGTGAGTGGTTCTGTTGTCTCATAGTTTGAGAAAATTGCTCTTGAATAGTTCTAAATCCTCCAAACCATTCTTCCTAATAATTCTCCTAATCATTAAGTGACCAAAGAATACTTATGTTTCCAAGATATTAAATCATTCTAATTTTTCATTTAATATTTTCTTTATAAAATACTAGAAGGATTATTAAGAAGCTGTTTAGAAGGATATAGAATTACATTTTGCTTTTACTTTCTCATATTATTAACATTCACATCACAATACTGTTGAACAAAATCCAAGGAGCAAGGCACTTTGTAGGAACGGGCGCTAATCAAATAATTAAATTCATGCGTGAAATATTAAATATTTTATAATTAAAATGTAGGTATTAGAGAAAATTAAGTTTGTTACTGGTTTCTTAGATTATGACTTTTTCTATCAATCCTGGGTTCTGAAGAGAAGAAATTACTTGAAAAACCGCGGAAATCCTATCTACTTCTTGACAACTGACAACCCTCATGAAATAAAAAAATTTCTGAAAATATATTAAACAATATGACACTACTAGATAAAAAAAATTCGAATGAGAAGTTGTTGCATAGAATCTGCAGATATATCTGAGACACACCATGTAATTCAGAAACTGAAGATTCTAAAACAGGACCTTCCAATCATTAGCTTCATATAGTCTCAACTAACCAAGACAAAAGAACTTTTCGGACATTCCTATACAACAATCTCCTTCGAAAGAAATTTGAAATACCAAATTATGAAAAATTGATAACAAAATCATTTACCAGCAGTGAGACCTGATTCTTGTTCAATTCATGGTTAAGATTATCCTTCTCCATAGTTTCTTTAGTTTGTACACATTTAGAAAAAAAACTCACTGATAAATACTTCAATTGCGATGTCAACTCAACCTTCCTATTGCTTCAGAAAGAGATGCAGGGAGTTGTTGCAGTATATGTGACACACTAATTTGATGTTTTCTTCTTAGTCTCCCTATTTATACTTATACTATTTATATTCTCTCAGATGGTGCAATTTTTAAAGAGAAAGATAAAACTAAGAAAAATATTGATGTTTATAGGCCATAAGAAAATTGTTTCAGTACAATTCAACATTTCCCCTCAAATTGGTGCATAGATATCAGTCATGCTAACTTGTTTCATATAAGCTGACCAGTATTCAGTCTTGGACATGTTTTAACAAAATCAACCCTTCTCAAAGCATAAAATTAGCCCAATGTATAATTTGAAAATACAGAATTTGTGATGCCTAACATAATAAGGGACTGATAAGTGGATGATTTTGTTACTTGTTTATGCAGCTTCTTACTCAACTTTATACGGCAGTGGTAAGGACTCTAGCTGAAGACTGAGGGAACCTGAGTCTGCGTACTTAGAAAATCAATTTATCTGACTTTTCCTGCCTCCACTAATTGAATAACCTTTTTCTTTCTATGTTAATGTGCAGCTCTATACCATTATAACTCTTTCACTTTGTTTACAAGCAATTTACTATGGACACATATATCCTAAACTGAAATGCAATAGACAGCTCAAGGTACAGATTCGTATACTTTTTCTTGCAAGCAAAATTATTGATAGACTGTTATATGTTTGTTGATGAATATTACTATTTCAAGATTAAAGATATTATGTTATTATATGTGAAGGTAAGCAAGCAGCAAATGGTAGAAGTAATATAAGTTATTCTATGTGAGACGAAGCTAACTTCCCACTTATGGACTCCTGGCAAAATATGTTTCCAGTAAAAGTGTATATACCAGATTCCTATTTAATTGGAATCAAAATTAAATCTCAAGTTGTATATAAAAGAATCTGTCAGCATGTTAAACTCACTTTACAAGTCTAACTCTGGATCTCAAATCAATTTGTGTAGAGTTTTGGTCTCATTATTCATCTCTTTGGAGTATATTATCGTCTTAGATGGTAGACAGAGAGTTAGATTAATCTAAGTAGAATCTTTGTGTCTATTTATGCTATATCATATAATATTTTATTAAAAATAATTGGGGGGCATTTTTCCTTTATCTCTTGGAACTATGCAATCATAGTAGGTTCTAGAGCATTAGATAAGCAATACATTATTTCTCCACTAGAAGTATGTTCTAAGAGTTTCTAAGCAATCTAGCCGAGTACGGAGACTTCAGACTTTTAATACATTTCAGTAGCGTACTATATTATTTCCATTTGTTTTCTAACATTCTAAGCATAAACAGATTGACACACCAACAAATGCAGAACAAGGCAAGAGTGGAATGGAAAGAGCCAATGATGCTAATCAGAGCATTGAGTTTGATCGTCTCGAAAGACCAGGCGTTGGTTTGAGTTCTCCAATTCCTCTTCCAGCACATGCTCAAAAAACTTTTGTTGAAAGACAATTATACTACCAGTAATTAATCTCTCTCATTGAAATTTATGCAAAATTTCCGGCAGTACTCTAGCTTCCTTATCAACTTCTATATCTTGGTGTGATAGGCACCAAAAAAAGCATATCTGATTCCCTCTATCAAGGGCAGTATATAATTGAAATTTTTGGATTGTTTTGATCAAAAGGGTTAGGTTGTAAATTATTGTGGCGTGAGAATGTTCAGGAAGTCAAATAGTGGATAAGTTAATTTTATTCTATGCAAACTGGCCATGACCTTTCCCAACATTAAGAGATAAGATTGTAAAGGGAAAATAGAAATAATCTATGGTTAATAAAAACAATGATTTACAACTTGCTTGGAAACAGGAGTGGGATGTCTACCCTACTTAATTTTGCGGTTCATTATCCTTTAGTTAGGATCTTCACTTCAAAGAATAATGCTAATTCCATAAACTACTGTACAGAAGATCCTTATGACCCCATTTGCTTAAGGAAAAAGCAATTGTTGAAACTAGTACAGTGATTAAAAAAGTGCTGAAATGAATTGACTAGTCTAAAAAATTTATGATTGTAAGAATGTGCAAAAACACAGTTGTGAAAGTAACAACACTCAACAGATGTATTGTGAATATTTGGTTCCATCGAATGATCTGCTACATATAGTTCCAAAATCTTCAATATTTCTCTTGATTTAGCTTTGCTGATTCTCTTAGATATGTGCCCTTATTTTAGCTTTCCTTTTTAAATTTCACTAAGATTTATCTTCCTTCTCTTGGTATTGCTGAGTGTGTATGATTTCTTGTGGGGTATTTTAAAGGAAATAGGCATAACTGTGCTCACAAAAGTTCTAGTGGATTTGTTTCTCCGTGCATAGAAAAGTTCTTATAACTCATCTGTTTTGAATTCATTAGGTCAGCAAGATATCTATCAAAAACTGGCACTCCATCGACATCTATCTTAGGCCAAAGATCTACTCCTCTTATTGTCAACCCTATACAAGAGCCCTTGCTTGGTTCAGCTATCCTTGCACAATCTGCGCCGGTTTTAAAGACTAAAACTACTCTTTGTTTGGTAAACTTTTCTCCCAGTTGTCTTATATATAACAGTGACTGTGCCAGATTTGAAATCTAATCACATGTAGTCTTGTTCAGGTGTCAACATTAACTTTTCTTGGTGCCTTCAATCTGCTTCAGTCACCAGATGCAAGAAGTCATTCCATGAGCTCAAAACCAAGACAAGAATTTGTGATTTATGTTGGAAGAAAGCTTTTGCAGGTAAAAAGAAACTCACAAATTGGTTACACATGCAAAGGAGAGATTATTTCTCTATGGATATTCATCTGGCTGTTGTAATTTAGCCATTGCATCCTATTAGAATAGGAATAGCATGATTAGCTGCAAATTACTTATCCCCCCTCCCCCCCCAAACTGAACTATGTGTTGAAGATGGTATTTGTCCCACCAAAATGTCCTTTGCAAAAGACTAGGGCCTAGTTTGGATGAGCTTAAGCAGAAACACTTTAAGGAGGAAAAATAAGGAGATAAAATAAATAAAACTTTTTTTCTAAGTTAAAATCAACTTATACACCTTAATTTTTGGAGAAGTTAAGAAAATTTCTAAACAGTAAAAGAGCATAAGTTAATTTTAAATTATAAAAATAATTTTTTTTCTTCATCTCCTTATTTTTTTTCTCCTACAAATACTGCTGCAAAAGTTTATCCAAATTAGGCCTAAGTCACCTGAACCACATAGGACCTTCTGCATTTGTTATTCTTAAACAGTTTGGTTATATTAGGTGATGGGAGGTTATCTTTGGCATTACTCAATCATGGGTTAAAAAAGCAATAATTTTGTGGATGACTAAAGATTCAAAATTAACCAACATGGATGGCTACATTGATTTTTAAAATGTTTAAAGGAAATGAATTTTCCTGTTACCTTTCTATTATAATTTCTTACAGCAATCGCAGGTTAGTGGCAATCACTTGTCAGAACATGATGTGGTAGGAGAGAGTAGCGTTGGTACTCTACTTGGTTGGGCAATGGCACTTATATATATGGGTGGAAGACTTCCTCAAATCTGTTTAAATGTGAGTTATATTTTCCAGTAGTCTATATTGGAAAACCTTCTAATTCAATTTATTTATGTGGGAAAAAAGAATTTCATTTAAATGATATTGAGCGGTACTCATTCATCACATCATTTTTATAACCGCTTTGTTGAGGACTTGAAAAATATGCTGTGGAAAAAATAAAAGAAACAGAATGCTCTTTAGTCTGCATGTATTTAACATTGACAATATATATACAACATAACAAACAAACAAACAAACAAACAACAAAGTTGTACCTCACTAATTGAGGTTAGTTATATGGCTTACAGTTACACAACACTAAACTCCAAATTCAAATTATCCAAAATATTATTTATCTATAAGATCCCTTTTAATCATTTCTTCCAAAGTTCTTCTAGGTCTTCTATTACCCTTTTTAACTAGGCTAAAAGTTATGTGATCTACTATCCTCACTAGTCATTCTAATAACCTTTACATGTATCCAAACCACCTTAATTGATTTTCTGTTATCGCCTTCTCAGTAGTTGTTATTGCAATATTTCTTTTTATACAATTGCTTCTTATCTTGTCATTTCTTGTGTGAGCACTCATTGATCTTAGCATTTTCATTTCTGCAACTTGTACTTTTTTCTTGTATTGTCCCTTTAAAGCCCAACAATCACTACTTCAAAGGATAACTGGTAGTATAGCACTACAATAAAACTTTCCTTCAAGCTTTATAGGTACTTTACAATCACAATGACAATATGACAATATAAATAATTTAAATATTTATTTTTTGTATTTTCCAAAGAAAATTGTATGCAGTATATTTGGAAGTTTAAAACTCATCTAATATACTTTCTTTGCTAGTGGAGCTACACTTTGAGCTGGATTGACTTGTCTTGTTCTCTTTCTAATTTCTTTTAACTCATGATAATTTTCATCAATTTTGCAGATCAGAAGGGGTAACTGTAAGGTTAGGAACTCCAACCACTGTACCTATGATCATTTATGTGTTTGTTCCTATTTATATAGCAAGTAAAAATTTTGAGATGGGGTTATGGGAGGGACATTTCTGCCCTTCAGATCCCCCTTCCCTGTGCAGTAAAAATATTTCTGTCCAGTTGTATGAAGCAGTTTTAATTAGTTCACTTTGCAGAACATAAACCATTTCTATGATATGTAGGGCATCAATCCTTTGATGTTTCTCTTCGCTTTAATCGGGAATGTCACTTACGTAGCAAGGTAAGCTTCCAGTTTATTATCTTCTTTATTTTAAAGTCTCAGACATAACCAAAATGACCTTTTACATCAGAAAAAATAGAGATGGATTGAACTTTTACTAAAATGACCTTTTACAAATATTCAAAGAACATACATATCATAATGCAACTATCATCAAAAGCTTAAAATATTCGGTGAACACACGTGAATGACATTTATATTATATTTCAAACAATGTACTTCGTTTTATGTAGCATACTTGTCAGAAGCTTGGAGTGGTCCAAAATTGCCCCAAATCTACCGTGGCTCATAGAACCAGGAGGATGTGCCCTTCTTGATCTTTTTGTATCCTTTTCTTTACCCGTTTATCTTTTACCAAATTGTTCTCGCTAGAGTGTATTCTATCTAACATAAATTATATGTAGTATAAGATGGATAGCCTTCGAATTTACCCATATCTGTATTTATGAGTAAATTGTTACTTTACTGTCCCTTTAATCTTTGACTTAACAAACTCTCATCTTAATCTTTGATTTTTCAAATTCCCTTCACTTGAAAGACTAAAGTAGTTTATTCCGATATTTATATACATGTAATCTGAGTCCTCTGAGACTTAGATAGGCCCATATATTTTCTCATGTTGGATTTTCTTCAATAAGAATTTCTGTGAAAGACACTAAGGAAATAATCAAAGAATACAATATTTAAGAGCCACATTGACCGGTAAAAAATTGGAAATGCATAATTACACCATGAAAGTTGAACTTCCAAACAAAAAGGTTTAAGGAAGACAATATTGTGACATTCCTCTTGAGCCATAGTAGAAAGACAGCTGGCAGAAATTGGTCTACCTTAATATCAGTTTTAGATTTTAATGCAATATATATACTTCAAACATAGGGCCTCCCAAGGCCAGGAGAGTTAGCACAGACATCAACGTGCTGCCTAGATGAGGAAGAAACATGGGTTTTCAGGTATCTCTCTCTCTCTCTCTGTGTGTGTGTGTGTTTGTGTGGTGCACATGTTCATGTTTTGGTATGTGTTTCTGTATGTCATATTTCTATCACCTCAATCATCCTTGTTAGAATATAAAGAAATATCCTTCAATAACTTATCATATCTTAGATTACCTTTAGGATTAGTTTTTCTATTATTACATCATTATCATTTAAGATTGAATTACCATATTTCTTAATCTCATGCTTTGTTTCCTCATATGGTTAGGATTATAATTACTATAAATAAGGATTAGTCCTTTAGGATTTATGAATATCTCATCACATTGTAGCATATTTCAATTAATATAACTCTTTTATCTTTTGCCTCTATTCTGTTCTATACCTAAAACACCATCATGAACTTTTTTTTTTCTTTTCCTTCTTTGTTGTAGCAGCTTACTAATTAACATCTAGTTAAGAGAAGTGCTTTCTCTAGTTAATTAGTTTGCTATGAATGTATATACATTTAGCACGGTTAGCCTGGTGTCAGTGGTGTGTGTACATATTTCTTTATGCTCTTTCAATAGGTGGAGGAGTCATTTGGAGGACACTGAATACTAATTAAGAGGAACCTTAATTATTGTAAATGATTCTGTTGCACATAACTATGTGTTGTTTGCTAAAGAAAAGGAAGAAAGCAGTATGATTTACAAACTGAATCAAAATTGTATTATCCTGGAAATTTTGCAATGAAGAATATTCATTGGAGTTGTGTTGTAAACTGATAGATGTATATACTAGAGGAGAGGTTAATTATAATTTTGCCACAGAAAAACTAAAGTAGTGGTTTTTTCTTTAAAAAAAAAAAAACAAGAACCATCAAGAATTAAGTGAAAAAATAGGACCTATTGTTGGTCGTGCTACATAGATAAGCTTGAAAATACTGTTTCGGAGAAGTTCCATCAGTTGTTAAGATCATGATCTCTTAAATCTGGTCATGCTATCAATGATAGATCTTATATTGTAATTTCTTATATTCACTATAGACTACGGTTAAAACAATGTGCTTTTTCCAATGAACAACGACATGCATCGATGACAAAAAATAAAAACCACAACTTTATGTTGTGCTATCTATCCATGGAGATCGGATTAAACTGGTTGTGATAATTCGCCATTTAAGGCAACTGATGAAGTTCCAGGAGAATAAATGCAAGTCTCTCTACGGACTATTGATGCCATCCAGTGTTGTGTAGAGGTTTCATCTGGTTAACTCCCCTTTTGAGACAATAACATTATGGCATTACCTTAAATTCTAGAATTGATAAATTTATTTTAGTGAATGAAGATATGCATTGATTGTATTTCATGCTATTCTTCCACATTAGTGTGACTCATGAAGATGTTTATCAAAAGGTTTTGTTTCAAGTTTTGGGTTTTGCAACATTTCATGTGTGCCAAATTTGGAATTATGTAATGTTTAATGTTGTCTTCCTTGGTTAATTATAAATAAATGTATATAGCAGCCATGTAATCTCCACCATGGTGACCCAGACACGTGAGCAAGAAGCTGAAATGGACTGGGGGAATGAAAACTGCTGATAAATTGTTTTTGGTCGATCAATGGCATTTTGAGAAGAAAGGAAAGAGAAGTTCTCTTGTTTTGACCCCAGACCAGCAATTTTGTATTCATTTGATGCTCAATTTTGAATTTCCCTTCAATTTTTTCATTTGTTTTCCCTGAGAATTTCTGCTAGACATTGATCAAATTGGTTCATTGATTCTGGTTTAGTCCTTTTGATGATGGTATCCATTGGTTTTGACTTTATATGCTTGTTTCGTTTATTATGCTGAAGGAAATGGAAAAAAACAAAAACAAAATAAACTAAATACTATAATGATCCTCAAGTTACCTAAATTAATAGATTAAATGGTGGGTTAGCACACAAGGTTCTTACTTTGTAAGTAGAGAAATTGTTTTCAAGATTTAAACCTCCAAGTTATAAGGTAGCAAAATTTTACCATTGCACTAAAGTTCATCCTCACCTAAATCAATAGATTACTAATGAAAAATATAGCTAACTGAACTCAAAGTATTTGTGAAGTTTGCTTCTATTTCTAAATATCCTTTTCTTGCTTTTCCTTGAATAAGCTGTCACTAGTCAGTATTCACATTAAATTTTGACACCCTTATTTCCTATGATTCAATATTTCGTTTCTCTATTTGTGTGGCAATGGTTGAAGGTCGTGGCAACCAAGAAAACTTCTGAATGCAATCTTGAATAGTGCTTGTTGGTTAAATTCCTTTTTCATTTAACTTTGATACAATATCAATCTAAACGGTACTCTATTCATGATTTGTTAGATTAATAAGGGCATGTAAGTATAAATAATACAATATTTGTTAAAACTTTTAAAATTTCATTCATAACCTTAATAAAATGGGATTTTAAGTTGACATCATTATTAAAAACTAATTTTCAATTATAGTTTTCTTATATCTTTGTTATAATCCATTAAAAGAGGAACACATGTCATGACCCTTGCACTAATCTCATTTCTTACAAGAACATCACAACTCTTATGAAGGTCTAATTCGTGGACATGAAAATGACCTGGCCACTGTAACATCAATACCAAATTCTTACGTAAAGTCACTATTTTTCCTAACCAACCACTCAGAATATGTCACATATATTAAAACAAACCGCACGGGGGATAAGTATACATCCAAAGGGAAACCAGCAAATTAAAGATAAAAGATGATGTAATTCTCATATAGGAATTTTCATATGAATTGTCATACCACGTACGTCACATATACTATTTTATACACATAAAACATAAGGCTATAAATGGCACCACAAAAAACATAGGCTTGGAAACAAGGAGTTATCAAACTTGTATGACATTATATATGCACACAATGAGTATCCTATTATCCTGGATAAGAAAGTCTTATCCTCACCTAACGGGATAACCAAGAAGAAAGAAGACACAAATCGACAACTATAATTCTAAAACGAAAAGGAAACCAGTGCCAAATCTCTGTTGCATGGGGTACGGATTGTATTATATACAATAGGCCTTTTTTTTTATATATCAATGTACTGTAATTTGATACACAAATCACTAATCAAACGTATGTTTTAAATTTTTTTTCTTAAGTATAATTTTAGTCCTTTTTTTTTTATAAATTTTGATTTTATTTTCTAAAAAACATAGGATTTTAGTCTTTAATTTATTTTAAAATTTAATAATTTTTCTTTTTAACATAGCACAAAAATGAAATAATTACAACATTCTAGTCAACTTAGCCATCACTAGAAACCAAAAGTGCTTGATTTTAAAAAAAAAAATTGGAATGAAAAACTAAAATCAAAATTTAATGAAAATGTAAAAAAAAATGTATTTAACTCTAAATATTTAATATAATTAGAGTAGGTCATATATGATGAATAATGTTTAACAGTTTTTTTTTTAACTTATAGGTCATATATAAGTTATGGAGAGAGAACTTAGAATCTAAGATTTTTATTTGAGTTGAAGTAAAAGTAAAACGGGGTATATGCTTTGCAATTTTAGCAAAATATCCAAGATGAAAATTATGTGTTGGAAGTTAAATTTGAAGATGATATTATTCTATAAATCTGCAATTTTAAGTACTTAAGATCAATTCTACAAAATAATGAAGAAATTAATAAATATGTTACTCAAAAATACAAGAGTTAAAGTGTAGAGTATCGAGAGTTATTCATTACTGTAAAGTATATATCAAACTAAAGAAAAATTTTATTATATTATAATACAACTAACTATCCTATACGATAATGAATGTTGGGTCTTAAATACAACATAAAAAAAAATTTGGAGTGACAAAAATGAAAATGTTAAGATAGATGAGTGATGATCCAAGAAAGGACATAATAAGAAATGTATATACATAAGTGTTTGAGTAGTAGATATAATAAAAAAGATGACTAAATACTGTCAAAGGTGATTTTATTACATGTAAAAAAAAATCTTAAAAAATATTAGGAAGAAGTGAATGATATAAATTTTAGTCCAATAAATAACGGCAGAGACATAAAAGATCTTTATAAAAAATTATTAAAAATTTTTTAATTAATAATATTTTAAAAATTAGATTTTCACTGAGCTCAACAGTGTCTTGTGATATATATATATAATTGATTTTATTTAATGAAATAATAGTTAATTTTTGTTATTATGTATATGACTTATGTATATTTATTAAAAATAAACTATCAATGCATAACTTAAAACACTATCAACAAGAAGCTGTATCATTGGAATTATTTGTTTACAAAAAGCAAGCCTGTGAATACATGACTTGAAAGACTAAAATAGACAAATAAGAATCAAACTGCTATAGTTTTCCTGTACCATTTACAGCATTAGGAGATGCTGTGTATTTCATAATTGTCCTTGGCTTGAAATACTGCATAGCTGTCATCCATTTAGGCAACTTCCTATATAATTCTTCTCAACCACCAAACACATGTGCAAGTGCCCTTTATTTTGTTATTCAACCCTTTCTATATATCACACACTATATTCATAAGTTTAAAGCTTTTATTGAAATCTCAAAGTATATTGGCTAATAAGTGGCACTCAGAGAGTATAACTTACTCAGATTTCGTAAAAATATTGAAACTTGTCTCCATCCAGTAATTTATAGAGTGAATTACACTATATTGTTAAAAAAAACACGACATAATTATACTTATATATTTAATGATAAATATTTTATAATAATAATCTTAATTAAATCTTAGTTATATTCTTACAACTATAAATTCTATAAATAAATAAATTTTCCTAAATAAAGTTTATGAAGTATAAAACGTATTATATATAATAATAACTAAATAACACAACTATCCCAAAAAAACAGAAATTAGTCAATGCTACTAATATTGTTTGGTCTAAGTCATCATTCTGTATACAAACACTATAGAGTGAGTTCTCAATTTTAGTTCTTTAGTTTTTGTGTGATAATGGCTTACTAGCAAAAAAAAATCCTGTGAAATATACAGAAGTACAAGTAGAAGATTATTTTTTGAGTATTAATATCTAATATCATATGTACATATGCATACATTGTACCTATTTTAAAATATCCCTACATGACAACCTGTTAATAAATGAAATGAATACTTACATTGATTTGCACCAACCAAGCTAAAATTCTATAAAGAAAAAAGACATTATGAGTAAGCTCATGTCTTGTAAAATCTGATAGAAAGAATGTAGACAAAATTCTTCTCCAAGAGCAAAATCCAGACCACCTAAACAAGAAACATTAATGAAATGTCTAGGGGCAGGCAATTAAGCAATGCATGTTAGCTACAATGTTAATGTTGACCCACCACTTACTGCTTTCAAATCAATCCACTTCTGATGATACAATTCATTGGGTTTTATCCCATAAAGACAGTTCTTTGTGATCTGATTTCTCATGAGTTGAGACACACCTTCCTAACGTTAAATAAAATGGACCCTCACTTATATATTCACATTGCTGTGTTTGATTTTCTATTTCAAATAAAATGGACCCTCACATCAATACCACCAAAGTTATCAGGCGGCCACATGATGATAAAAACTTCTTTGGAAAATAAGAAAAAGGTAAGGAATGGTCACATCTCAAGTTTGGATATATAATCACAAGTGGTTCAAGCACTGTTAAGGTATTTGAAATAAGTGACATTGTGTTTGGTACACACAAGTAGTGATTTCATTCTTTGCTAACATACCCTTTCAATAGTTTTTAGTGTGTCTAAAAGTTTTAAGACTTTGGATGAAATTACTGTTTAAAGTCTACTTTTGAGTTTGGATTTTAGTTACTAAAAAATGTTAAATGATACAAATGTGTTTGATAGAACAACCTATGTATGTTTCGCTAGTCATCATTTAATTTTATAACTTTTTCTCCCTTTATTATTATATATTCTTAATGAGTTTGGCAAAAGAATGTAGCAAATATCATTGTTGTGTAATTTTTTGTTTATATACATTGAGAAAGGGGTGAGGCATAGCACAAGTTAGAACTTCATTTCATTGAAGAAGGAGAAAATGGTAGGATGGAAGAATAGGGTAGATATTTTAATCACATACAATAATACATTTTGTCTAAAGTTAGAGACCACAGGGTATTCTCCGATACAAAGGACTTAAATTTGCACTGAGCATTTTAGTAAAAATTTATAACAAAAGTTGAAGTATTCTTTGAAATACTTCTTTTTAATATAATTAAAAATTATAAAAGAACGAGATTCTGGCCCTTATTTAATAAGCTCAATTAATAATTTTATAAATTTTAACTAATTATTAAAATTGAATTATTAGCATTTTTACAGACTATTATTAGTATTATTAATAATATTACTACTAATAGTACTATAAAAAAATGATTGCTTAAAAAATTTCCAACCATTACTTTTACTTATACTGGAAATATGCTCAACCATCCGTTCACACACTAGGTTCCTGTGCAAACATAACCTATATGTGAAACTTTCTTTTCTTAATTTTACTGCTTTGTGATTGGTGATAGGAAAAGTTACTACATAGTCCTAACACACCCAAATATATATGAGCATAAGGAATTTCAGAGTCAGTACCACCTATGTTCAGTTTCATCCTTAGCCTTTCCATTCAAACATTGAATTAAACCCCCCTCAATATTAGAAAAAGTGTGGGAAAAATGGAAAGGGCAATTCCTACCAACCTGAAACCAAAATCACCCAACCTTAGAGATAGAAATGCATCTTTTTTATCTCCTCGTCCCACACCCCATCAACCAGACAAAAGTGAACCACACCATGCTATGAGGCCTATTGGATTTAGAACTCTTGATCATGATTCCACCTCTGAGCATAGCACTTTCCATGCACACAAGTACTTCAACCAAGGGACTAACAATGACAACATCCAAAAAGTGAACATCAACAGCAACAGCAGAGTTTCTCCCCTGCTTAACCTGGACACAGAACACAAACACAATCAAGAACAAGGTGATATCACAAAGTCCACAAGGTCATTCTCCTATTCTGCTTCATCATCACTTGGTGGCTATGCCAATGCCAACATCAACAACTACAAAGCTCATTCATTCCATGTTGCAACTCCAACAACACCTTCTTCTTCTTCATCTAAGGCCAGTTTAAATAACAAAGCTGGTTTGTTATTTCATCCTCAAACAAGTGCAATTTCAGTTAACCCTCCTCAAAGCCCTTCTGATCTCAGCAAGAAAATCAGAACTTCATTGTCAAAACCCATTTGGCTTTTAAGAAGAAATTGTCCTTGCAATGATAAAAAGTCTGTGCAAGTGAAAAAAAACACACCAAAACCCAAAACTCCTGCAACCACACAAACACCACCAACACAACAACCTCAAATCCTTTCTTCACACAAAGATTCTATGAATCACAAGACACCACAAACATCCAACAAGGAAGTGAACTCTCAAAGATTGTTCCAATTCCAACCTTCCATGAATCAAGTTCCAAGGCCCTTAAGTGAAGGCTTCACTTTTCCTTTGTTCTTGGCAACAAACTCCACCACCAAACCTCAGGTTCTTCTCAACGTTGTTCATGAAGAAGAGGACACACCATCACGTGATTCCTTGCAAGTTTTCCAACCTTCAAGCCCCCCCAAGTCACGTGCCATGGATGATGATGCGGCCAGTGATGCAAGTTCTGATCTTTTTGAGATTGAAAGCTTCTCCACTCAAACTACTACGCTGCCATACCCCATCACAACCTCCATTGCAGAGTGCCATCAAACATCGGAAACCTCCGCCATACACGACTTCTTCTTTGCCGCCGACGCCGGCAATAATTTGTGGTGGCGCCGGCGTCTCAGAGACATTGAGATGCCACCTCCACCACTTCAAAGTCAATCAAATTGAAAGGAAGAAGACTTTACACGCAACTTATCAAAGTGGCACATAAATTTCTTACCAATGTATTTTATAACTTATTTCAATAAATTTTATAATTCAAGAATATTTGAAAGTGTTTATTCAAGTGTACGTATGAAGGTGATTTATAATTTTCTTGCAAATCTTTTTCCTAAGAAACTTCACCGATAAAAATAATTAAAATAAGTTATTTTTAGTTTATTTTTATAGGCTCTACAAACACATATGAATGAAGATTCGATATTAAATAAACATAAAATTTTGAAATAATTTATTAAATATTTATGTTATTATTTATAATTAAAATTATAGTTTTATTTGGATAAATATCTTTATTTAAGATTATCTTAAGTTGTTAAGATGATATATATATATATATATATATATATATATATATATATATATCTAACTGAATTAGACTTAAAATTTGTTCAATTTATAAGAGTTTAACAGCTTACTTAAACACCCTCTAAATTAGTGTTGTAGTGAATTAATTTATGACTAACATCACAAAGATCCACAAGTGTTAATGTACTAGTTTAGTCGAACCCAAAAAAAGTCCTTGTTTCTATATTTGATTTTATTTGCTAATTAAATTTCAACTTCTTAATTCTTTTATATTTTATGTACATGGTGTATCTTGTAGTATCATGTCTTTCCTTCTTTTCACAGGATAAATAGATTTACTTTTAATGTGTGTCAAAGAAATCATTATAAATGTAACTAAAGGAATAAGTGCTTGTTAAAACTTTTAAAAAAAAAAAAAAACATAAAACTTGACCAAATTCAAGGTTGAGAATGTTTATTGTATAAATGTAGATCAGTTGGGTAAATTGTGACATGGATGAATAATTAAGTTCACTAGGATTATATAAAAAATTTCACAAGAATTAGGTGAATTCAATGTTAAAAATATTCATTGTATAGATATAAATATAAAACTAAATGAGTTTATTTGGACGAATGGTATTTCTTTATAAGTTAGAAATAATATATACATTTCAGATGCTCCTCATATGCTTGTCAAACATTTGTTTTTGGCATTGGAATCTAATATAGAAGGCCACTCTAAACAATAATAAGTGCTATCTTTACATGTATTTTACAATATTTTAACTACAATATATATATATATATATATAATATTAAATGTTGAGAAAACCATTGTAAAAAATGAAAGCCATGATTTGATAGCAGCTTTTTAACGTATTTTAATTGCATATTAACTTTTTAATTCTTATAGCTATATTGTAATAAAATTTGTTACTTTAGTATGAATTAACAAGCAACGGTTTTCAAAATTATTTACAACAACTGTTTAAACATTTTGACCACAATTTAATAAGGATTACCTAAAAGATATAAACAATATTTATTCAATTATTATTAGAAAATACTTTATTTTTATTTATCTAGATTATAGGTATTTTTATTAAAAAATATTATATTTAAACTGTTAAATATAAAATAAGTTATGAAATATTTAATACAACTGCATTTAATAAAACATTAACTCAAGATTTTCAGGTTAAATTATAAATACAAACATTTCTATATCCTACTCCAACTATTAGTTAAAATAAAATAAATGAATAAATGAATGTTAAATACAAAATAAACCATATGACATAATTAAGAAGGGCCACTCCAAAAAGCAATCTTTTAGCTAAGGTAGCTCTTAAAAGTATGAGAATTCATGTTTAAATTAAAGGTAAATAATATGCAAGAATTAGAAAACCATTCTAAAATCGTTTAAGAATAATTTTTATATGTAGCTTATGGTATATAAATAGGCAATGATGTTTTACCAATTGTTATAAAAAAAAAATGGATAAAAATACTTCCCTATTTACATTGTTTTTAATCGTTGTATATATTAATCTTATAATATTTTTATTAATTCAACATATTTAATAATAATAATAATAATAATAATAATAATTATTATTATTATTATTATTATTATTATTATTATTATTATTATTATTATTATTGTGCCTTTAAAGATGTTGTTTATTATATATTTTAAGAATAATTTTATATCCGTTAGCAAGAACAATTTTTAAATGATAAAAAAATATTGCCTATTCATTTTAAAAACTATTTTAACTATTGACAAAAAAGTTGTCAACTGTTAAGAAACTATTGTTTATCATATAGTTTAAAAATAGTTTTACAACAATTAACATTAAAATTGCCAACAATTAAATAAAGCACTGATTATTCTATGTTTTAGTATAACGAGTTTATAATCGTTAAAAAGTGATCATATCAACAACTGAAAATGGTCTTTTATTTTATGTTTTATGAATGATTTCACAGCTAATAGCCATAAAAATTAATATCCGAACTACAAAAACCGCTGTCTTATTATATACTTTACAAATGATTTTTGAACCAATTAATAAGAAATTAAAGTGTTACCTAAAATACAAAAAACATTATAGTGTATATTTTTTTAATTTTTGTGTTAATATATTTGACATATCATACAAATGTATTAAATTTATAATCTTTTATTGTATCGACTATGACAAATGCTAAAAATGAAATTTACTTCTCTACTTTTTATCATTGGAATTGGAATGATCCACCTATTATTATTATATTATATTTGTGATGTGTGAAGTGAACTCATATATATATTTATTTATATTTAATTTAAATTTTTTATTTAATTTTTATCTAATAGTTAGTGAAATAATAAATTATAAAATTAAATATAAATCAAATAAAAAATTTAAATCAAATGTAAGAATTTTTATACTTATAACAATATAAAAATATCTTTTTCGGTATACATATGATGCACATATACACGTTAATACACATCCATAGGTGAAAGCATTCATCAAAGGCACTGCTCTTACAAAAGAAAAGCCACTCCTTGCGGTGGCAGATTTTGGTCTCACGGGGGCACAGCTTCCATGTCTGCTTCTTTTCCAACATAGGAATTGTGGGTTTGATTATTTGGTGTGTTTTTATTTTTGGTCTAAAGTGTGTTTGGTGTATGCATATGTGATGCATGTTCATGGGTTTTGTTGCTTTTAGACATGTCCTGAGAAGGGTACAAAAATAATGCACCCTCATCTGCCCTATTGTTTCTTCACTCAGTTTCTATTTTTAGAGTTCAATAATGTTTGTAATCACTCGTTTTTATACTATATGATATGGTTACTCATTTAATGAACATGCATGTACACCATTTCCCATCATACATGATGCCACAGTGGGTCGCAAATCTTTCATGCATGTTTTCATTCTCTCTCATTAATGTGAAGCTAATAAAAAAAAATTGTTGATATTATTTAAATATAAACTATTTTTATACCTTCAAAGCTAAAATCATGACCAAAATAAAATGAATAGTACATGATAATTATTATATTTAATCTTTAATAAAATGTAGACTTGTTTTTAAATTTTGACTTCAAATTAAATTTAAACTCTTTTAGCAATGCAAGATAAGCTAAAAAAAAAATAAAACATCAAGTTTTATTAACGCTTAAGCACACTTTTATAAGCTCAAATTGAATTCAATTTTTTTTACCTAACTCACTAAACCCTACCACTATCGTTGTTGTCACACGTCACTTTCTACTGTCACTTGATCACTATATTATCAACACCACACATCTTCCATAACTTTAAATAATTTAAAAATAAATTATATCTAAAATGTCTATATATATATATATATATATTATAGCGTAAATTATTAAAAAATAATTTTATTATTTGTATATAATTTATATTATGTCTTATTACTACAATCAAATTTTATTTTCAAATATTTTATATCGTGTATTTATAATTATCTATATTACAATAAAATATAATAACACTTTTATCGAACTTTATTATTCAATACATTCTTATCCTATATCCTTACAATCAAACAGGGGCTTAAAAGTGAGTTTAGAAGATCAGTAAAAAAAAGACTATTCAGGATAAGTGCATGTGAAAAACATAGTGTCATATATCTATTAATGGATAAAGATGGAAACACTGTGCATGAAAAGGGTATAATAAGACATCACATTCAATGCGATGTCTAAATTCAGAGAAATAAAAAGTGATATAATAATAATAATAATAATAAATAACATGATAAAAAGTAAATAAATAAAATTACAAATCGCCTCCAAATGAAAGGAATATTTATAGAATAGAAGAAAGTGCAAAACAAACAGGTGTATAAATTCATAACAATTTTTTATTTGAATTCTTCGTTTTATTTTCTCTTTGTCAGTACGTTTATCTTTTTAATTTTAAGTTTAACTGTAATTTCTTTTTATCTATATAATGTGATTTATGAGTCATTTTCATTTTTTTAACTTTAATTGTTTATATTTAATCTTTCTAATTTTTTAAATATTTAAATTAAGTTAATTATCTCAAAATTTTATCTAATAATTGATAAAATAATAATTAAAGCGTGACCTATTATTAATTTGTATAAATAAAAAATATTTCAATATTTCAATAAAAAGTAAATAGAAGATTTGTATTTTTATTTAATTTTTGTAAATTTATATAAATTAATGATATATTACATCTTTGTTATATCTTTATTAATTATTATATGAAATTTTAGGATGATAAATTATATTTGAACAATTTTATAAGTAAAATAACTAAATGTGAGTAATTAAAATTAAAAAAATAAATAAAAATCATACATAAATTAAAATACAATTAAATCTATATTATATATATTGTTTAGTATGACAACATAGATGATGTGTACTACATGTGTAAATCTTTTATATGTCTCTCAAGGATGTATATATGTAGTACCCTTCAACAAAAAGGAAAGAGCAATTAGCAAAGACATGATCTTCTTTAATTTTGATCCAAGTGAACCAATATCTCCTTTTAGATAAGTCTAATTATTATTTGATTTGTTTTCTGATTTGACTTAATTGAAGTTATATAAGCTTTTGTTTTCATTTGTTTCTTTTCGTGCATGTCTTTTTTTTTCTTCTTCTTCTTTTTTCGTTTTCTTTTTACT